CATCCTTTTCTAAGCATTACTGACGTCATGCATGGTAATACAGAGGATGTTTATAACTGGTAACCAGTACAAATGGAAACCATATACATGGGTATATCAGTAACATGTATTTTAGCGGTTCTCAACCTGTGGGTCGCGACTCTTTTGGGAGTCCAACGACACTTTCACAAAGATCACCCACGACCATCGGAAAACACATATTCACTGAAGTTATGAAGAAGCCACTGAAATATTTTACGATTGGGTGTCACTACAACATGAAGAACTTATTAATGGTGTCGTGGAGTGAATCAACCAAACCCTGCACAGTAGACTATTCGTGACGTTGACGCCCCTAGCGGGCAGGTCACATTTCAAATTTAGACCCGTCCGGTGGGTATATAGTCCCTCATATCGATTTATACCTCTATCTGGTGGAATAGATATATCTATACCCTCTAGTTGTTTTGAAAAGTCTACATTTTCAAACTTGCAATTGTGGGATAGATATTTTCTGAAATAATATTTTCCGTTGTGACCCCTTAAACTTTTGATTCTGCAGCACCAGCTGGCCAGTCCCTGTACTCACGAACTAAAGTGATTAGAACTCTACACAAGTCTGAAACCTGATCAGACACCATGACCCATTCCTCGCCTAGCCCAAATTTATCAAGCCTGCACACATGTTTAATTGTGTCTTCTGTTTGCGCCATCCAAGGCCGTTCTCTTTCAGTCTTTGACCCTTAGCTCTACCCAGGGCTTCATGTAGGAAGTGCTTCTTGTCTGCAGCTACTCTGAGATATGACTGTACTTGCAAGACTTTAAGCCTTTCTGCGATAGTAGGCAGTGCAAGCATATATCGCATACATACTACCGCGGTATCTCTTGTGCATTCCTGAATTACCGGCATGGCTTCATTCTGTATGCGTTCAGGTTTCATAAGCTGACTCTTTGGTATGGTAAGCTTCTCTCGTCTTCTTTTCTTCCCACTCTCTACGTTGCCACGTGAAGATGGTATAAAGCACAGAGCACGCACTCAGTAGCTTCGGTAATGATTATTTTTATTATTTAGTACTAAATCCAACGAAAATGTATTTGTCTGTATAGCCTGTAAGTCCCCTAGATTCGAGTTTTACCTCTTAATAGCAAAGTAAAAAAAAAAAGGACCCATTTCCAAGCCTTTAGGCTTATAAGGCATATAAGGCAAGACCTATATTTGATAGACCATCAGCACAAGATGGGTGATGTTTTAGCATCGCGCCGGACTTTTAACTTCCCGGGACTGCACCCGGTATCCACTAAAGGCTGGGTCGCCATGGGAGCCCAGGTCATTTTTGAAAAAATTCCGGCTCCACCAGGGAGCGAACCCACGACCTACAGATCTGCAGGCGAGCGTCTAGCCGCTCTGCCACGGCGACTCCCTTACCTCCTAATGCATATGTTATTTCACATCTCAGAACCTATTGTGGATATTTGGGAGTGAGATCTATGGAGAGACAAAACTGATGACCTTGAACCAAAAGATCATCTCCTCGCAAATTGTGTCCCCTGTTTCAATGAGCATAAAAGAACGAGATGTACAAGACAGAGACAGGAAACTCGCATCATCAGAGAGTCCGTTTGTTGGTCAATATGAAGATGGTTAATTATATATGGAGGTAGGTAGGTAGGTAGGTTAGCCCTCACTAAGGTAAATACTGAATGGATATGTTCATAGGTAGTTAGGTATGCAGATAATACAAATGTATGTAAACGATAAAAAAAACGAAATTTTACCATAACTTTAATAAATAAACATGTAGTCTTGAATGCTCCAATGATAAAACAAAAATACTTCTAGTGCATGCTAATATTCAGTCCTCCAATCTAATCCAGGTTTATCTGCAACGGGTAGAACAGTCCCAGCGCAGTATCTGTGTCGTGTTTAGATAAGTCCAGAGACGGGGATACCAGAAAGTTTGAGGATTAAAATGTCGCACAATCTGGATCTGGTGGTGTTTACATTGACATCGCAGCAAAACATCAGACCCACAAGTCGCAATTACAGTCATACCGATGGCCTAGAAAATAGACGCCGGTGTTTCATGTTTACAGTGCTTTTTAATATGTGCACTTCCTTGTGTATTAGATCTTTAGTGTGTGTAGATCTGTGTCTGTGTGTGTGTTTGTGTGTTTCACAATTAGATCTTTATTGTGTGTAGATCTGTGTGTGTGTTTGTGTGTTTGCATGTGGGTGTATGTAGGCAAATGCCCATACTCATATTAGAATTTGTTAAATATTAACTTACTTGAAATGAATTGAACAAGTAGAAGAAGCACCACATTATTATTGCATTGTAGTATATAGCAATCATGAATGAGGTCACAGCTGAGGCCAGCCCGAGACCTCCTAGGAAAGGATGGATCTCATTCCAGACGCCGAGGCAGCCCAGTTTCAGCCTCTGCCCGATAGCTAGCTCCAGGTACAGGACAGGCATGCCCTCAACAAATAGCATGATCAGATAAGGCACCAAGAAGGCACCTGGGAAAAGCCACAAATAAAAATGTTAAACCACATCCCGTATTAAAATTAGTGCAGAAAAACGTATATGCTATTCTTTGACCTAAGAACAGCCAAAGATTCAAACTATCCTTGATTTCCCCCGCCAAACAAACACAAAAATGTCAAATGTTAGCTATTTTTGACTGAAGAATAGTATTACGTTTTTATATGTAAGCTTATCTTGACCAAAGTTTGACGTCATATATATGCTATTCTTGATGTACAATCAACTATGTAAGCTTCTCTTAATTTGTTTTTTATGACTGCATGATGTTACCAGAATGTTTTTATCATAATTATTATCCTTATTCTCAGATTCGTGTCATCAATGTTTACGTTTTGCAGATTTATAATATTTTCTTCATGGGTCACCCTATCATACACCTAGTGTTAACAATAATAGACAAATATAGAACTCAGTTCCCCTGTATCTTTTTGTTAATGTTGCCAAGATAACTATGTGGCTTTCTGTGACTTTGCCACTTCCAAAACATTCAGATAACAAATGTGTGATATTTTACACATGGCTTTAAGGTCACACCTCTTGGGCTATAACAGATTTATTGATTATCGGCTAATTGTCCGAGATTGGCTGGCAAATATAAAACATGATTTCTAATGAATATGCAAGAAACAACACGATTAAATATAATCAATAAGATGTGGCGGCGGTTGACAACCTTCTGTTAACTGAGCTCTGATAAGGTAGCAATAGTTATTGGATATTAAAAAAAAAAAAAAAAACTGCTGAACGTCTGGAGTTACTGATGGAGGTTTTTTTTCTCGAAGACATAATAAATAATAGGATTTGCAGTAGTATAGTTGCTTTCCGCGAGCAAGATCTTGGTTCGAATACACAGTGAGAATTTGTTTAGTACTGACTTTGGCTTCAGAGCGACCCGGCTGACGTCAGTACCAGGAAATGACCATAGTTAGTAAATATGGTTGATCTGAGTGCTAACTGGTCAATGAAAATATAGCTGTATCATTATATGCCTGATGCTCCAATGAAGGGAAATGGACCCTTTACTCTTTTTACACTCAATAACATTTTGAAAGAAAGAAAGAAAGAAAGAAAGAAAGAAAGAAAGAAAGAAAGAAAGAAAGAAAGAAAGAAAGAAAGAAAGAAAGAAAGAAAGAAAGAAAGAAAGAAAGAAAGAAAGAAAGAAAGAAAGAACTGGCAAACAAACAAATGTGAACGTAAACAAGAACAACCCCATATATAAGTGGAATTCTTTGAAACCCTGGGAATGAGAAGAGAGATAAGGAAATTAAAAAAAAAAATTAAATCTGATGTTTTTGCTACAAGACCGGTCTGTGCCCAAATTTTTCAGTCCACACTGAAGGCAAAGTCGAAACCAGGCAAGCAATAGTCTGACAGCAGGGCCGGGGAGGACTTCGATAGGTGGACGAATGAGAAGACAGCTATATGACCGGTCTGTACCTACATTTGTCAATCAACAATGAAAGCATAGTCGAAACCAGGCAAGCAATAGTCTGACAGCAGGGACGGGAAGAAGAGGACTTCGATAGGTGGACGAATGAGAAGATAGCGCATGATCTACTGTTTTGGATGTTAATTCCAGGTTGTGTAATGTGCTTGGTGCCAGTTAGGACTTGAACCTAAATGCAGGTTTCTCTTAAGACATGTCTACAACTGTTATGTTCACCGTTGATGCCGACCACAAAAACCATCTCTAAAAGGAGCTCTCGGCCCAGAATTTAATACCTGCCATAATGATGTTACTGAGACGCCTACAACTGTCGTTAGTTCTAAGAGACTTTAGGGCGTCTGCACGACTTCATTGTACCATCAGTTTCACACAAGGAATGCAAAAACAAACTGCTTATCTACCCTCAAAACATCTGATTCGCCACCATTGTTACTTTGATTCGTCTCTATTGTTACTTTGTTTCGCCACCAATGTTACTTTTATTCGTCGCTATTGTTACTGTGATTTGCCACCAATGGTACTTAAATTCGCCACCATTGTTACTTTGATTCGCCACCATTGTTACTTTCATTCGCCACTATTGTTACTTTGATTCGCCACCACGGTTACTTTGAATCGTCACCATTGTTACTTTCATTCGCCACTATTGTTACTTTGATTCGCCACCACGGTTACTTTGAATCGTCACCATTGTTACTTTGATTCGCTACTATTATTACTTTGATTCGCCACCATTGTTACTTTGATGCGCCACCATTGTTACTTTGACTAGAAAAAAAGAAAAAAAAAAAAAAGAAAAAAAAAAAAAAAAAAAAAAAAAAAAAAAAAAAAGAAAAAAAAAAAAAAAAAAAAAAAAAAAAAAAAAGAAAAAAAAAAAAAAAAAAAAAAAAAAAAAAAAAAAAAAAAAACTACTAGTGTTACTTTGATTCGCCACCATTGTTGCTTTGATTACCCACCATTGTTACTTTGATTCGCCACCGTTGTTACTTTGATTCGCCACCATTGTTACTTTGATTCGCTACTATTGTTACTTTGATTTGCCACCATTGTTACTTTGATTCGCTTCAAATGAAACAGACGATATGGGAAAAAACATGTTGTTGGTGGTGTGTGTGTGTGTGTGTGGAAGGGGGTGTGGGTGGTATGTTTGTGTGTGTCCGAACGAACCTGTGTGTGTAATGGAAGCCGCGGAACCTGGGGCTGAAGCCCTGTATGCGCAACCCCCCCCCCCCCCCCACCGACCCCCTCCATTTCAGATATAGACGCCCCCAATTTAAGCATTTGTCCATACACTTAATATTATTTCAAATATATTAATTTATTTGTCATTAGGCACACATTATTGAAAACAATTATCATTAATACTATTATAATTATTATTATTATTATTATTATTATTATTATTATTATTATTGCCTAACTACATTAGGATTTAAAACCACTTGAGACTCTGACTCCTAAACAAATGATAATGGTACCTAGCACCACCACCCCTTCCCCAGTATTGAATTGTTAGGCAGCGCGTCTAAGTGTGTGTCTGTGTCTTTCACCACGGCAAGACATTCCATATTCCGTGACACGTGTTATCATATTTAGCGGCAAATGCAGTACCATGAGGCTTATCTGTACCCCAAACAAATTAAATGAAGTTTGTATAACTCTTATTCAGTCATCATAATCAAATATGTATAACAAATCGTTCACATCTGCTCATTTTAAAGCACAGATTCGCTTTCATGTGTAACGCTGCTCTCAGTAAACTGCCCAATAATATGAAAGGTAAGTAGGTAACTTGTACCCCACCAAGACATCACACAAGCGATAAACACCCGGTGACACAAAGTGCCACCATACGGATGAGGATCACCCGTGGAGAGGTCCCGTAAACACAGTTCAGCCATTAGACCATATTTATGACCCGGCTATATGAATCAAGTTATTATTTATTTCTTATTGAAGAGAACGGCACCTTGAGCTGACAGGTTTTCTTGTGGCAGAGAATAGCTCAGTGATAACAAACAGCTCAACGGAAAAGTTCAGCAATGTAAACTTTAGCAAGAGTTGCTGCTTTTTATCTGTACTTGCTGCGTGCCTCCCCCCCCCCCCCCTCTTCCCCCTCGTCCCCAACCTCCTTTTTCCTCAAGAACTAGGGGTATAGTCTGGCGACTAACATAGTCATCCACTTCACTGCAGGTCTTGCACCAGGGTATAGTTTAAGTATAGAATGTATTCTGTCTAAATTCTGTGACTCGCTGTGTCGGTTCCATATTCAATGCAGTTTTATTGCGTTGTTTGTTGCTGATTATTTGTAAGGTTCGTTACAAAAACAAAACAAAAATTGTATACGGTATCTCTCTCTCTCTCTCTCTCTCTCTCTCTCTCTCTCTCTCTCTCTCTCTCTCTCTCTCTCTCTCTCTCTCTCTCTCTCTCTTTCTCTCGGACGTAAGACTCCAGCCACTAAAATGTCACAACGTTCTCTATACTCCCCGCCTTTACACGTGACCAAATAGACCCTTTGTCCTATCTTGATGTTTCTTGTACCTGAACGTGTCTTCTCCATTCTTCAATATTAGGCAGTATTGCCACAGTTGTGCAGTGGCTAGACATTACCCGCAGATAAAAATCGCGTGGGTTTGAATCCGCTTTCAGGAGATATTTATAAATAACCCGGGCTCCGAATGTCGATCCTGGCTAAAATGTGTGGCAGAAAAAAATCACAAGATGTAAAGGTAGTCGGCATGATCTTGAGCAGTGATATATCCCTTGAGTGCCAGTAGGTCTGTAAACCTAGATCCTACACCACATAGCAGATCTGTGCCAGTAACTCGAAAAACTCGTGACTTTATCATCCACATTATTAATGTCACATCAGGAGTCCAAAGAGGTCAAGTATCATCAACAGGAATCCCACACCTAAGTAACGAACACGCACATTACGAATAAGACTATTTAGGAGTGTATTACACTGTGCCAAAAGGAATTACCCTGCCGGCTCACAAGGTAAACATGCCGACAACACGAGCTAATTCACAAGCCAATTGTGTGCTGTCTGAAACCTTGACATAAAAGCACACTTGTTGCAGATGTGACCCTGCCACAACCTTCCCGACCAAGGCAAGAAAACCAACAAGCTTGGCACCTGCACTGCTGATAAATAATTTCTGATGATAAATAAGAGTCTTTCGACGAGAGCAGTTGTATAACTAGGCACTGTGAACTGGAACACTGGGGCGAGGGCGCGGGCTGGCAGATACATAATCTATCAGCAACGTGTTCATAAACCCACAAAATTTGTTTGAGACTGTACGTCTACACAAGATGAGCGCTTTCTAATGCGTTATTCGGTAAAAGATATATCATTTATAAGCCGTTCTATCTATCTATCTATCTATCTATCTATCTATCTATCTATCTATCTATCTATCTATCTATCTATCTATCTATCTATCTATCTATCTATCTATCTATCTATCTATCTATCTATCTATCTATCTATCTATCTATCTATCTATCTATCTATCTATC